AATTAAGGGATCAATTGAAGAATTAACCTAACAAATAAAAAAGAAAGACCAACCAGCAAGAATGTACACGGAATTGCACTCCATTTTTTCACCCAATAGATAAAATGAGAGGCCCTTTCTAATTTTTTACACATACCAAACCCCCACATAATTTTAAAATTAAAAAAAAAAACAAAAAAAAAACTTATTTTTAAAGATAAAGAGACATTGAAATTATTTTTTGTCAAGCCCCATGATTCAGCAGATTACGCCCCACTTTGCAAGAGAACGGTTCTGATCGAACGATGGTCTCCACCGAAATAACGTCGTCGTTTCTTACATTTTTTTTAATAATTTTTTTTCGATATTTTGACATTTTCTCTTCAACCGGAAGTAGACAGATCCGACGCTCCACATCAAATCTTCTCCAGTTTCTCGGCTTTGACCAACGGATTGGCCCTGGCGATCTCCTCTCTCCCGACCTTTTTGAAGTCGAAGGTGCACCCGTGCTGCTCCGGGTACCTGTGCATCCCGCAGAAAGTGGTTCCACACCTGCACTTAAACCCGGTCAACCCGACCCGCTTCCTGCAAAACATACACCGGTTCGACTGCTGCCGCGGTTGGTCCGCAACCGCCGCCGCGTTTTCCTCGACAGGGACCGGTGCATCAACCTTGACCACCGGTAGAGTCAACGCAGGCGGAGGAGATACGGATTCGATCGCTGCTGCTGATGACGACAAAGGAGAGGAGAGAGAGGATTTGATGGACGCTTGCTGTTGTTCTTTGAGACAGAAATCTCTGTAACATTTGGAGCAGAGATTCATCGTCGCCGGACTACCAAAGAAACCGCAATTGTTTGCGCAGAGACGGTGGCCTTCCGGTGCTTGGCATCTGTGCTCCTCCGCCATATTTCTCCTCCGTACGATTCTTAGATCTGTGAGTTTCTCTTATTCAATTCTTTAAACAGCAGATCTGGACAATTTGATTAAATAATCCGATCAAAAAATCTGCGAAACCGACACCAAATGAAAAGGTATCAAAATTAGCAAATTATCATCATTTGACGAACTTGATCTATAAAAGAAATTGTGTAATTTCCGAAAACACATCAACTTCCGGATTTTCTCAGCAACCAAACAGAAAAATCATGTAATCTGCTAAAGAAAAAATTGAAAAAGTAGAGACGTACCTGTTGAAAGGATTGAGGAGAGAAATTGGGAACAAGAGAATTGAGATGGAAGGAGCAGAAAGAGAGAAGGAATTATCGGAGAGACAGGGTAGAAGGAAGGATAATAAAAAAGAGAGGGGAAGGAACGGCGAAAAAGGAAACAATTTGAATATTAATAATTCGATTAATATTTTAATTAGTCGTTATTATAATTATTATGCTTTTTTTTTAATGAAATTAAAAATTAGTGTTAAAGTAAATAAAAAGGAAATACCTGAAGAAAGACAGGCTGGCGGGGAGCCAAAATGGTAATGGAAGTCCAGGCGGTCCCGCTTTTTGGCATGCCTTATTTTCTGCGAAGGAAGGACGGCCACGGAAATTCATGCGCAAAGAGAGAAAGGAATTAAAGTCACCAGCTGTGAGAGGTGTGAGGCGTTGGTTGGTTACATGTGGCGTTGGTTGTGTGGTTGGGATGGGTGACATGGGTTAAGATTAGTGGAAAAAAAAAAGTTGAAATTATAAAAAGTTTTTTATTTTACAATTGGGATGAAAATAATACAAAATATTAATACTTGGGTGGGAAGTTTTTCTAATAACA